TTTTATTAACTTTTGCAACTGATCTAACACATTGTTTTGCATAATGTGTTAGACGAGAAGACGAAGCTTTGAAGTGAGAGAACTTCTGTATGCTATATACATACACACACATATATGTATATATATATTTACACACACCCACACACACAGCTAATTCATGTACTTATCCTTTACTTATAACCAAGTCTTCAATGTCCTAGTAAGATTGTATTCGCAGTTTAAGTACAGAGGTATGAATATATACACATACACATATCAGCGGAAAGCACCTGCAAAATTTTCCCAACTATATATCTGTGTAAATTGACAGACCCAATTCTATTTAATATCAGATCTACTTAAAATCAAATCATGATGAACTCTTGGACATATATATTAGCTAGGTTCCATGAAGATGTTTAAAATTAACCTCAGCAAAATCTTTCATGTGTTATTTGCAGATTAGGGTTTCGGTAGTATATATACATATGTATATGTATATATCTGAGCTAACTTGTTCAAAGAATTATTATACGAGTTGGGGATGCACAGAAATGGAGATCTACATCTGTCAATTCAATGCACTTATACTGGATCAAACATCCACGAAAAATTCCAGTATATTTTTATAATTTACAACTTAATTTCTAACACCATTTACGTATAATTCACTTGGTCTTTCTAGTAGTTGTGATTTGAAGAAGTTAAGTGTGCAAAAACTCATATAGTGCCATCTATACACACACACATACACCCATATAATAAGCTTGTAACACATAATATGACTGATTAAATGAAAATTATGTGTATAGATGAGGAAATTAATTAATTAATTAATTACCAGAGAGAGATCAAGAGAAGTGCATGGTGTTGGAGGTTGATTCATCACCTCCCTTGCTTTGAGCAGGCTTCTTTTTCTTCTTCTTGTAAGGAATCCCTCTTGCCTTGGCTTGACACTCCCTTACCTCTCTGAGGTAAACCCGAATAGCTCCACTAGCGAAAGGATTCGTCTCCGGTGATCCTCCGTTCTCTTCGTATGCAGCTCTAAGCCTTCCGATGAGCGCATCAAGACTTCCCCAAGCCTGCCTGAGAGGACAAGTACAAGGAGCCGGCGGTTCAGGCTGACCATAAAACATGCAGCCTTGTAAATGAACCTTAGTCTTTCCAAACTGATCAAGATACCGAAGAAAATCAAGAACATGATTAGAATTACACTGAGAAAGAGCAACGGGGGGTCTTTGATTCTTCAAATACTGTCCAAAAGTGTTCCAATCTCTTCTCTTCTGAGATTCATAACGACTGGGAGCAGCTTGCTGATGATGAAGATCAACTGATGAAGATCCTTCTGCTATGTCTTTTCCTCTTTCGTTAGACATTGCTTTGATCTATATAGATCAAATTAAGTATCTGAAAATCAATCTTGTTTTTCTAAATTAGGCAAAAGAATTTGAAGGGGG